AAAAAAAAAAAAAACTCTTAAAATTAGGACCAGAAAGTTCACAATCTGATCAAGGTTATCGCTAAGGTCTAAGAGGGCTTTGGGTCCTGAAGGTGGAGCCCTCCTGAATAGGGTCTGGATCCTAATGAAAGGCACTCAACGAGTCCCTCAACCCTTCCACCACTGAGCACTTAGCCAAAAGGCAGTTGCCTAGGAAGCGGCCATCACCACATGCTGAATTGGGGGAGGAGGCAACTTGATCTTGGGCATTCAGCCTCTAGGACTGTGAGAAATGAATGCTTGTTGTCTATAAGCTTCCCAGTCTGTGGTACTTAGCTACAGTAGACCAAATAGACTGAGACAGACATGTGCTCAGCAACGAAAGATGGAATGAATTTTTCCCAGGGGTCAGAAGAGGATTAGGTCACCTGCTCTGTGATTTCTCCATTGTCAGGAAGTATGACCAATGTAAGTAGTCAAGAAAAAGAGACTAAAGATGCCCTGGCCTGGAAACAAAGAAGTAAAATTGCATTAGTCACAAATGACACTAACATTCATGTCCAAAAATTAGTAAAAATCTGCCCAAAATATCTGGTGGAATTAATAAATGGGTTTAGGAAATGTCCAGGATTTGATGTTAATGTACAATTTTTCAACTCTACTTCTACATACTAGCAGTGAACAACTGGAAACTAAATTTTTCAAGATGCTACTATTTACAATAGCATCAAAAATACAAAATCCTTGGGGATAAATTTAACAAAAATGTGAAAGATTTTTGTATTCTGAAAAACTACAAAATACTGATGAGAGAAATCAAAGAAAGCCTAAATAATGGAGACACACATTTTGTTCTTTTGTCAGAATACTATTTGTCAATATTATTAGCACATCACTTCTATCCCATTTGATCTATAGATTCAATGCAGCTGCAATAAAACTATCAACAAAATTTTTGTTTTAGAAATTTGCAAGCTGATTCTAATTGTTTTTCTTTTTTCTAATTGTTTTTGGTACGGTTAGGGTTTCATTTTATTGTGAAAAAGACAATCACGTAGATGTCATAAAATGTATACATTCTAGAGCAAAGACAACTGAAAAAGAGATGCGATGGGATTAAAAACTAAACAATTTCAAAACTAAAAACTAGTTTACCACACAGGAGAAGTTTTAGAATATGTGCTCGTTTCTAGAATTGTACGAATATAGTCACATAGGTAAGCTGGTAATAGTAATGATTAATAGATTATTTCAAGATTATGAGTACAGTTGTTCTCGAAATAAATTAGGTGATACATGAATGCAAATCCTAAGTAATAACAGCCTTTGAAATAGTAAGTTTTTATTTGCTTTTTTGAGACAGGGTCTCACCATGTAGCTCAGAGTGGCCTCAAACTCATGGTGCTCCTCCTGCCTCAGCCTCCTGGATGCTGGGATTACAGGTGGAAGGCTTTGCGCTCAGCTTGGAATAGTAATTCACTTCTAAGAATTATACTAACTAGTGATATGCATAATACACATACAAAATCATGTCTGTTTAACTATTGTCTGTAGCAGCAAAAATCGATAGTTAGGAAAAATCGGCGTGTAGAGCGTGGGGTTAGTTCTCAATTCCGTAGTACTTGGGAAGCATAGCTCCAGCACCATACCCTCCTCCAGGGTATGATTCTGCTTCATTCCCAGTACTCGGCTGTTGTTTGTGAAAACTGTGCCATGCCGCAGTATGCACCAGCTCAGCCTCCTGCCCGGGCAGTAGGTTACCACAGCCAGGTTGCAGGGGCAAAGTTAACATCCCATCTGAAGACACATCGAGAGAAACCAAATTTCATCATCAAGACCCCAAAGGGCACTAGGGATCTTAGTCCCCAGCACATGGTTGTAGGGGGGAAATTCTTGATATAGTTATCAGTTGCTTTAAACGTCATGGAGCAAAGGGATTGGATACACCAGCATTTGAGCTTAAGGAAATACTCACTGAGAAGTATAATGAGCAATATGGACTCATTTATGATCTGGAGGATCAAGGTGGAGAGCTGTTGTCCCTTCGTTATGACCTTACTGTTCCTTTTGCTCGTTATCTGGCCATGAATAAACTGAAGAAGATGAAACGATACCAAGTTGGAAAGGTGTGGAGAAGGGAAAGTCCAACTATAGTCCAAGGCCACTATCGGGAGTTCTACCAGTGTGATTTTGATATTGCTGGTCAGTTTGACCCTATGATCCCTGATGCAGAATGTTTGAAGATCATGTGTGAAATCCTAAGTGGGTTGCAACTGGGAGACTTTCTCATTAAGGTCAATGATCGGCAGATTGTGGATGGGATCTTTGCTGTCTGTGGTGTTCCTGAAAGCAAGTTCCGTACTATCTGTGCTTCGATGGACAAATTAGACAAGATATCTTGGAGAGATGTGAGACATGAAATGGTGGCAAAGAAAGGCCTGGCTCCTGAGGTGGCTGATCGAATTGGGGACTATGTCCAACATCATGGTGGTATATCTTTGGTAGAGCAGATGCTGCAGGATCCCAGACTATCCCAGAACAAGCAGGCTTTGGAGGGGTTAGAGTCCCTGAAGCTTCTTTTTGAATACTTGACTTTATTTGGAATCACTGAGAAGATCTCCTTTGACCTGAGTCTTTCTCGAGGCCTGGACTACTATACAGGAGTGATCTATGAAGCAGTTTTGCTACAAACCCCAGCTCAGGCTGGAGAGGAGCCCCTGAATGTGGGCAGTGTGGCTGCTGGAGGGCGCTATGATTAGTTGGTGGCCACATTTGACCCTAAGGGCCATAAGGTGCCATGTGTGGGGCTGAGCATTGGAGTAGAGCGAATCTTCCACATTGTGGAACAGAGGATAAAGACTTCTGATGAGAAAGTACGGACCACAGAGACTCAGGTGTTCGTGGCCACACCTCAAAAGAATTTTCTCCAAGAACGGTTAAAGCTAATTGCAGAGCTTTGGGATGCTGGGATCAAGGCAGAGATGCTATGTAAGAATAACCCCAAACTGTTAAGCCAGCTACACTACTGTGAGAATACAGGCATTCCCTTGGTGGTGATTATTGGTGAGCAAGAACAGAAGGAAGGGGTCATCAAGCTCCGGTCAGTGGCTACCAGAGAGGAGGAGGCCATTAAACGGGAACATCTTGTGGCTGAAATTCAGAGGCGACTGTCTCAGTCTTGATCCTTGCCTGATTGTCATCTGGTGCTCTTGGTACAAAGCTTTCATCTAACATTGAGTTCCTGATGCACTTCACAACAGCTGGCCAGCATGGGTGACAAGTGCCTTCAGCCTCCTTTCTCCTTGAATAGAGAAGAATGTGGAGACTCCTGGACTCATGTAAAAAGCTAGTCTGCATAGAGGCATATGTCATATGTGAAAGAGACATGCTATAGCAGAAGGTGGAGATTTGAAGTGCTAATGATGCTACCTTGAGGTGCTAAGATTGTTGCTGTGAGCAAGGCTCTTGAAGAGTCCTCTCCAGGTTGAAGATACTGAACCACTGCAATCAGAAGTGATACTTAGGGGGGCCAGGGAGATGGCTCAGCGGAATAAGTGCTTCCCTGGCAAGCACAAGGGCCTGATTTCAATTCCTAGTTCCACCAAAAAAAACAAAACAAAACAACAGAAGTGATACTTAGCTTTCCACTGAGCATCGGAACAAGATTTTGGGAAATTTGTCTATATCCAGCCTATGGCTTATCTAAGTTCTGGGAATTCAGCAAAGATGGACAGTGACATTTTTCTGTCTTGACAGAAATAATGTATTTCTGTCAAAGGGCATGGCAGTGCCTGTATTAATTTGGCATATTTTTAGCCTATCCTCTGTGAACAGTAGCAGGGTACGGCTGCTATTTAACCATCTGGAACATTGAACTTAACAGCTGATTTGGAACAATGGAGATCTGGGATTTTAAAGACCATTTCCTGTTCTAGAATTACTGTTCTGACTTACCATACCTTGCCATAAAGGCTGTTCTGGAAGTGGCTGGATAATATGTTAAATAAAATGTTAGTTATAGTAAAAAAAAAAAATCGATAGTCACATAACACACATTACAAGACTAGCTGTGTGATGAGTTCACTGGCTTATATTCTCAAAATGTAGCTAAGAATTTGAGAAAATTCTGAAGACAGAATAAAAAGTAAGATATCAGATATTTACAATGTTATTGTCACACCTATATTTTAACAAGAAAAAATATTTAAATATTTTCAATCTCTCTGTGTCTTCTCTCATTAAGAATGGTCCCTTCCCTAGGGGCCTGGGAGATAGCTCAGTGGAATAAGTTCTTGCCTGGCAAGCACAGGATCCTAAGTTCAATCACTTGTACCACCAAAAAATAAAAAACAATGGTCACTTCCCTGTAATATAATTATAACTTGTCTATGATTAGCCTTATGCCTTTTTATTGTTACTTATTATAGCTTTTGCTACTATGGCTTTAATGTAATATTTTTTAAATGTACATAGAAATGCAAAGTGCCTAGAAAGATCAGAACAACTTTGAAAGAGTTGAGAGATTAACGCTACTTGATTTCAAGTTTCTTACAATATTACAACAACCTGACATCAAAAAACAGTACAGAATTGATTTCAAGATTAAAACAGCTCACTGAATGCAGTAGAGAACCCAGAAATAGACCCACACATTTCAGAACAGCTGATCTTTACAAAGCTTCCCAGGCAACCAGTGGGAGAAAGTCTTTCCACAAATCATGCTGAGGGAAAGCCAAGTGTGGGGGGCACACCTGCCATCCCAGCCATACATGAGGCTGACACAGGAGGATCATTCAAGCCCAGGAGTTCAAGACCATCCTGAGCAACATAGTGAGACCCTGTCTCAAAAAATAAGACACTAGAATAATTGGGTATTAATATGTAAAAACATAAACTTCGATCTATACCTCATATCATATACAAAAATCAACTAAGAAAACCACAGAACCTAAGGCAGATGTATTTATAAAGCAGCAACAGGGATGCAGATGTTGGAGATGAGGTGCTTCAACAGCCATTGGTACCTCTTGAGCAGTGTCCAGGGTCCTCCGCAGACTCACCATCATGACCCAGCAGGCTGTTTTATAGCTGCCAGATTGCGGGTCAAGTAAATAATGCATGTGGAACTTCTGTCTTTCCTAATTTTCAAAAAAGAAAAAACAAAAGAAGAAAGAAGATGAGGTGAAGAAGAGGGAGAAGGAGGAGAGAAAAAGAGATGGAGGAGGGACAACAACAACAATCACAACCCAGAAGTAAAGAAAACCATTGAAAAATTAAGAAACTGACAGCTTACTGCCATATATATTTTCTCTAAAGCATAAAACCTACAAATAGTGTTCTTTCTGGCAGCACATATACTAAAAACCTAAAGATATATCTGAAGAATTTAAGCCAAGCTTTTCCATCCTGTAGCCCCAAGAAACTTGAGCAATAAGTAAATAAACAATTCCCATCATTCCACATGTCTGACTTTTAGAAAATCTAGTGTTTGCCTTGAAAGTCCAAGCTTCTATAACAGAGATATGCATGAGCTTTGCGTTTCATTTAAATACTAAGCACAGACTGGCCAGGTAGCTCAGCAGATTAAGGTGCCTTCCTTCTTAGGTGGATGCAGGGACTGGGGCTCGATCCCTGGCTTGCCGTGCTGGCCCCACCCCTGGGGGTGCACTGAGGTGGCAAATGAGACTGAGCATGGTGGCATGCACCTATAATCCCAGTGCTTGGGAGAATGAAAACAGGAGGATCACTACAAGTTCAATCTGTGTAGTAAATACATAAATAAATAAATACATACATACATACATACATACATACATACATACTAAGCACAATCTGATCCCCAGAAGTCAGCCAAAGCCCATGCTCAAAATGCCTTTTCACTCAACTCTACTGAGAGGTGCCCAGGGCATCCTCACCTATCTCTTCTTTCTTGCCCATCTTGCTGTGTGTATTTGGTTCTAACAGGAGAAATTTCCCAGCAATGAGCCGCCTGTTGAACTGGATTCCCCAAGGACAACAGGCTTCCAAACATATGAGCTAAAATTACATCTTTTCTGTGTTCCCCCATGTCAACAGCTCAGTGCTGATGTGGTGTCTACAGTTTCCAACAAAATTTTCAAATTGCTCAGTAGTGTTTGGGGGAGATAATAAACTTTCAAAATATGATCATGCATCCAACAAGGACAACTGTCAGCAGGCCACAGACAGATGGTGGTCGTGTAAGGCTCTACCCTCTAGCAATGCCACAGCCTTCTAAGGTTGCCTGAGTGTACCACACAACATGAGCATGATGAGGAGTTGCCTCAGTATCCTGTGGCTAAGCAATCCATGTCTGTACCAACTGCATCTTTTTTTATGTTTTTGGTGCTAGATTTTCAACCCAGGGCCTTCACCTTGAGCTCCACCTCCAGCCCTTCCATATTTTTATTTATACTAGAGTCTCCTTCAGTCACTGCATGGAATGGGCTCCAACTTGTGATCCTCCTGCCTCATCCTCCAGCTGTATCAGTTTCTGTGACTGACAGCAAGTGGGAACGTAGGGAACCTACCTTCATCCTGGCAGGAGACACAGGCAGCTGCAGCAGGGAGCTGCCCACCCTGCCCACCATGCAGCTCTGGGGCACCTCCCTACAGCTCAGGCATTCCTGCAGTGGGAGTCTCCCACATCTTTAAGAATACCTCATTTTGGGACTGGAGGATCACTGTGAGTTCCAGGTCACTCTGAGCAACACTGTCAGTAAAAGACTAGCCTGAACTAGCGTAGAAAGACCTTGTCCCAAAAAGAAAACAGAAAAGTGCCTCTCTCAGTTCTTAACAATTCATAAGAAAAAGTATTGAAACCTAAAGTTCTAAGTTGAGGAATGAATCACAAGAACTGTATTTTAAATTAGAACAAGTTTAGGAAATTTGTACACCAGTTTGTTCCATCTCTATTTTACAATCATTTTATTGTTTTAGCGTTATTTTTTGTTAGTATATATTTGTCATATATACTGACCACATTCATCATAGGGAATTTGTATCTGTACATCATACATCTTGATTCTTCTTTTTATCCTATTTCACTCCCGTCCCTTCAAGCCTTCCTCCCTTCCTCCACTTACAAAAGCTTTGTCCCCATTTTTTCTTTGTAATCTTTTTTTTTTTCTTTTCCCTTCCTTCCATTCCCCATGCCTCCTCCGTTGCTGACCTTCCCATTTGAACATGCTCTTCCTACATCCCAATATCGGTCATCCATTTTACTCTGTACTTACCCTTTGTTTTTCTCACACAAGAAAAACAATACCATATTTAAACTTCCTTGTCCAATTTATTTCATTTAAAATTATGGCATTGAGGTAGATAATTTTAGGAGAATGGCTGGCTCAGCTTCCCAAGGAGCCAGTCCATGGTCACATGACTTCTCTCCACCAATCACATGCAGCCATATGGGCCTCTCCTGCAGGAGCCAGTGAGACCCAGCCAAGACTCCTGATGGTTGTCTTCTGTCATCTGTAATAACACCAAGCTCATCAAGAGCAGGGTGGGACTGCTCAGCTGCTCCAGTGGAAGAGCTGAAAGATGCCCGATCCACATGGGAGCCCAGCACACTGGGACTAACGAGAAAATGTGTGACATTGGGCTGTGCTCTCTGAATGAAACACTGTGTGAAGGCTGGGTTCCTGATTTTACTGGTCATGCTGTGGTTACATAGGAAATTATCCTTCATTCTTAGGAAATACAAACCTAAATATATTGAGATAGAAGATTATTGGGTCTGTATCTTATGTTCAGTGCTTTGTAAAAAGTATGTTCATTTGCCTCATATATGTGTATGCAGGACAGACATTTGATCTGATGGCTTTGAGACAGACAAGAAGCACCTGCCTTTCCCATTTTTGCTGCTCTAGCGAGAGGGTTTATGGCTGGACTGGCAACTGTCATGCATCCCCCTCACTTTCCTTCCTCCTTTTTGCCCCTCCAAGACTGGGGCAATTTGCCTCATTCTTATGTTTATGTCTAGTTGTCCCCCAAAGCCTCATGCAGTCATAATGGGGCTTTTCAAAAGTGGTTCAATTGACAGTGAGTGATTATGGCACTAAAAGTGTGATGCTGGGATTGATTGAGGGTGGGATGCTGGGATGAAGGGTGCATCACCCTAGATGTGAGTACTACCATAAGAGCAGGCAGCCTGGGGAGAATATAAGGGACAGAAAGAGGGCTGCTCCTGTCACTT